TGTACTATATAATTAAGATGGACAATTGCTCAGCGGGTTATAGATTAGAATTGGGTGTAACAATGCCGGTGATCTTTGGATGAACTATGTGAAGTTGAAAAAATCGGGTAATCAAGACCTCTTTCACTTTTACGCTAGAATGAACTTAAATGATTGTTCTGAAGATGACGAACAAAGCTTTTATTTACTCATATTTTTAACAAAGTTTACATTCTGCAAGTATTACAACAATAGATTTTATGGTTTTGTTAACCGTAGTAAAATTGTACATCGACAATATTGGAGACTCTGAATTTTGGGCTCCCCCAGGAACACATACAGTTGAAGTCAAACATTTACATACACCTTGCAGAATCTGCTAAATATGAACCATTTTACTAAAATAAGGGGGGAGAAAACTTTTGAACAGAATAAAGATGTGTACATTTTTCTTATTTTGCATAAATATCTTCTTTTTTTTCCCATTTAGTACTGCCCTTCAGAAGCTACAGAAGATACTTTCATGTGTCCCAGAAGACAAAACAAGTTACATTTACCCTGATCTTCAAATTCAGAAAGTGTTCACCCCCTGGCTCTTAATGCATGGTTTTTCCTTCTGGAGCATTTTTATAAATTCATCTATTATTTTCTCTTGTGGACTATATGCAAACATCTTTTATGTGAAATATCTTATTCATGTCAGTACTAAGTAAACAATAACATGCATTTTGTGTGATCCCTCTTATTCTGGTCAAATTATTAACATTGTTCAGATTCTGTAAGGTGTATGTAAACGTTTGACTTCAACTGTATGTAACGAGGAGCAGGGAAATTACCTAAAGTAATTAGCACAACTTTTGCACTTCTTTTGTAATTTTACATAAATACACATGTTATGTTATTTTATTCTGGGGGACATGAACATTTTCTTGAATAGTCCAGTAGATGGCTGCAGTGATCCACTCATGCTGCTCACTATAGACCAGCTGTTCACATGAAGAGCCCCAAGACGAATTACATTGACATGTTCAAGTTATGCTAAAATACTTATAAAATAAAGAGGAAAGATACACTTATAAACTATATAAAACAGGATAAATACACTTAAAAAGATATCAATCATAATAATGCTCTCAACAATAGGCTAGTTGGTTTTATTGAGGACCAACTTTCTGGAATCACAAAATTAATCACAGTAAATTGGTTTAAAACAAACTGCTTTAACATAATTACAGCAGAATTAGTAGTGGAAGTATCTTCTCAATAATTACAGGTTTTCACTAGAAATAATCCATTGCTTAAATAGTAACTGATGACCGATGAAGATATTTAGAATTCATATTCAACTAATTGTATTTATTGACATCCAAGTCAAGAAACACAAACTTATAAAATGGTTGCAGTTTAAGCTATAATAGATGTATTACTGCGTCAATGTAACGAGAAGGGGATCGGTTTGAGTGACAGCTCCATTCGACCAATAGCGAAGAGACTCAGAATAGCAATGGTCCAATCAGGAGCAGGTGGGCGTGAGCGAAGGATTAGTGACAGATCGCGCTGTATTGAACTGGATGCTGATATCTTCATATTATACTGTCTAGAATAACGCACAAGTGTCGCAATGGTGTCGCACTCGCTGGCTTTACCGATGATCTGTTTCACCACGCTGTGGGGTCTGGTTGGGGTTGTGGCCCCGTTTTTTGTACCGAAAGGACCAAACAGAGGGTGAGGACTGCTGCTGGAATAAAGGCCAAGCGATTCATTCATTCATCGATCTTTAAACGCATCCGTTCTCCTACAGTACAGCCTGTGTCTTTAAATGTTATTGCAATGTTATTCCGTGTTGCATTAGTGTTCATTTTTGATTTAACTTTTAATTATTACAGGGTAATCATAACCAGTTTGGTGCTGACCGCTGTTTGCTGCTATTTATTGTGAGTATAATTAAACATTTTGGGAAAATACTGCCACATAAGTTGCAAATACTAAATTTTGTTATTCATATTTTGGGTAATTGAAATAAAAAATAAACCTTCATGCAATGTAGTGTATGATATCACCTTTACACATTCGCTGTTTACAGTGCATTTTTGCAGTTATATGTTTGTTGATGCTATAAATCACTGAAATGTATGAAGTAGTATACCGTTTATTTGGAATATTCACTACTGTATTCATATCCATTACAGCTGGTTAGTAGCGATACTGGCTCAAGCAAATCCTCTATTTGGACCTCAGCTTAAAAATGAGACCATATGGTATCTGCGCTACTTCTGGGAGTAGATGGAGGTAAACTGGTGTTCATATCAGATTATTTAATGAAAACTGGATTTATGAGGATTCAATAATGATTGAGATGTTTATGATTCATTCTCATGTCTTGCAGCAGGTGTCATTCGGAAGATTCTGAATCTCGTCAGGCTTTTTTCTTTTAAATGTCACTATTATAATCAATAATACCCACACAATAGTGAAGGATCGACTCCAAGAGAACAGCATTTGTGATGAAACAAGTTGCAACACACATTTTCTCAATTACAAAAAGAACGATTCAACTTTTGTTTAAACAAACATGTTACTTAACAGATATGCAACATAATGAATAGAAGATTTGGAAATAGTATACAGCAGTGTATCTCAACCTTTTGGCGTACCGGACCCCCGTCCAATTCAGAACCATCCTCAAGGACCCCCAGAACAAAATTGACTCATATCATTTGTGTCTTTGTGAGGACCAAATGCAGTCAAGTATAATTCAAATTAGCTGACTTGTCCAGCTTGGCCATATCATCAGCTATATTAGATTTTTCTTTCATGGGAACATGTCATGTCACAAAAATTCATACTTTATATGTACCCCCTGGCCTTATGTCAAGGACCACTAGAGGTCCACGGACCCCTGGTTGAGAAACACTGGTATACAGGATAGTATTCTAAAAATATACAAAGAAATGTTATAGTGATATTCTTGTGATCTTTAAAGAATTGTAAGAACATCAAAGTGTGTGCTTTGGATGTCTGAGAGTTGAGTATATGAGTAAATGTTTTTGTTTTGTTTTGCATCAAGGCACAGGTTTGTTTATTTTAGTCTATTTAATATTAAGTTGTCCTCACTTGCATGTGACACTGTATCCACGTTTACCTGGTGAAATTATTTTTATATTTATTATTGTTTTTATTTGTAAATGTGATTGCTATTCTGTTGATGTTTTATATCATCGTGTGAAGATTTTGAAGCTGTGTCGTACAAAATAAATCGAGTGAATCTACTGAATTTCTGTGCCAGCTATAATGGGCTGTATATAACCTCCAGCACTCCCACAGACACAATACAGGAGTTAGCATGCATAATCTGTGAACATTTGATTTATGAATTCACGTCAGGCCCCAGGTTTATATCAATGAGGAACCATACAACCAGAAGCAAAAGTGCATGGATAATGTCAGAAAGGTTTGCATTGGTAGGGTGGAAAAAGTATAGATTTTACGATTTCACGAATTAACTAAAAAACATTATCTTGGCTACAAGCATCAGTTATCAATACTTTGTCAGAAAGAAGAAGCAAAAAGACCTTGACATCTGCTGATTCATCCGTATGCTGTGTGCAAGGTTGATTAATTGTGACCTGTTTGGAAGAACTGAAAAACATGTTTTAATTACGATATATAAGTACACACTAAACAATTTTTTGTATTCATACCCTATAATAACTTTATTTTATTTAACCAGAATTTTTTTTTAACTACAAATTTTTTTATACTATGATATACAACCACTACGGGGAATCATAATTTATGAATATCAATGCTTATGAATTAAAACATTTAGCCGACAAGTGCTGGCCCACTTTTTCAGCCTTGGTTCCAGAAGTGTTCATTACAGTTATACTGTATATGACGGTGAATCATATCATCACACACTTTTATTTGAAGTAAAAAGTGTTTGAAATCAGACAAAAAGAAAAATTTAAAAGACTGTGTACTTAACATCTTCCCATATCCATACTCCCATGAAACATTGTGAACAACGTATAAAAAACGGCTGTAAACATTAAACCAGGGTTCCTCAGATCTTGCCCTGGAGGGCCAATGCGCTGCAGAGATTAGCTCCAACCCTGATCAAACTCACCTACCTGTGATTTTCTAATGATCCTGAAGACACTGATTAGCTTGCTCAGGTGTGTTTGATTAGGGTTATAGCTAAACTCTGCAGGAAAGTAGATCTTGTGGGCCAGATTTGAGGACCCCTTCATTAAACTATTGACTTAAAAGTTGTTTATTACATATATATATATATATGTGTGTGTGTGTGTGTGAACCTGGAGCACAAAAGCAGTCTTAAGTCGCTGGGGTATATTTGTAGCAATAGCCAACAATACATTATATGGGTCAAAATTATTGATTTTTTTATGCCAAAAATCATTAGGATATCAAGTAAAGATCATGTTCAATGAAGATATTTTGTAAATTTCCTAACGTAAATAAATCACAACTTAATTTTTGATTAGTAATATGCATTGCTAAGAACTTCATTTGGACAACTTTAAAGATGATTTTCTCAATATTTAGATTTTTTTGCACCCTCAGATTCCAGATTTTCAAATAGTTGTATTTCAGCCAAATATTGTCCTGTCCTAACAAACCACACATCAATGGAAAGCTTATTTATTCAACTTTCAGATCTCAATTTCGAAAAATTGACCCTTATAATTAGTTTTGTGGTCCATATATATATATATATATATATATATATATATGTATATGTATATATATATATATGTGTGTATATATATATATATATATATACACACACACACACACAAACTGACATAATTTTTAAATAACCAGATTTATAAAATATGAAAGTAGTTTAGGGATACCGACTCGATTTACGGTGTTCGCGGTGCTTTAAGAGTGGGCGGAGCACGGCAAAGCTCCGATTCTGTGATTGGTAGACATGTCTTTGTAGGATTATGGGTAATGTAGTTCTTAATCAGAAATAGCGCTGTTAAACGTGGTATTAAATCATATAACGTGGAATGACTGCTTTAGCTAAAGTATATATAATTTATAAACAACCTCGAAGCTCATGGTACATCTGTTAAATTTCGTCATTCAAAGTCAATTCTCTTAAGGAGATAATGAAAGGACTTTTTACTCCCGGAAGCAGAATAGTGCGCTTAAAGGAGAGCCTAACAAGTCGTGCAAGTGCTGTTGACATATCTCAAAACAATTATTTATAAGTGACAGCACGCTTCAGGACCGTAACTAATATTCAAAAGCTAAACTTGGGAGTCGTGGTGTTGCACGCACTGAAGTCAGTGACACCTTTCTGCTTATGCACGAGAAAGAGAGCTGTTACACAAGCAGGTTTCTCTTCTTCAGATACAACAACAGGATAATAATAAACACTAATAATACTTCTACATTGAGTTGTGACACTACTTGTCAAGGTCTCCGATAGAGTAAGACTTCTCTGCTTCTGCGAGACTGGTTGAACATCTGCAGGTATGCAAAACAAAGTCGTCTCAGCTACATTTTATATGCGTTATGTCACGAGAATCACTTATTTATTTAGCCAGTTCATTTGAGATTTTTGCCTAAAAGAGGTCTGTTTATAACAGCAAGCCTCCCCAAATGTTTTCCCAAACGTTGTCAGCATTTAGAGTTGATAAGTGTGTTGATTATTAACTGCATGGCAGCTTTAGAATATACCAGAGTTCACATTTTCCTTTAACCACATCTGTTTTCTTTTCTACAGAGGATCACAGCCAGCGGAATGTTTGCAATACGAAGAAGCTTCAGTCTTCTGTGCAGAGGATCAGCTGCTTCAACATGGAGAAATAAAAGTCAAAGTGCTGCGAAGAGGCTGGATATAAGGGGGATTTATCCTCCCATTGCCACTCCATTCACTCAGAGTGAAGATGTGGATTACCAAAGACTTGATGACAATCTTAAGAAGTACGGCAACTTACCTTTCAGAGGTGGGTTGTTTCATTTTTGGACAAACGCACCATACATTACCCAGATAGCACAAGTACGTCTGCAATATGTCTGTTAAAGATCGCTTGATCTGGAAAGCATCTGTGGTGTACAAACCTCTGACAGACGTCTGTAAGATGTCGGTTTTACATGCATTCTAAACCATAAACATCTAATAGACATCTATTTGACATCTGATAGGAAACGTCCAATAGATGGATTGCAGATGAGCAAACACTCTAAAAAAATATGTCTTGGAGACACCAAATAGACGTCTCTGTGATGTTCGTGTGCTATCAGTGTATGCAGCAGAAACCACAAAGACATGTTATGATGAATGTAACACCTACAACATTTAATATGTGCTATAGGCTATGTATTGTCATTTTGTGTGACCCAGCTTTATGCTGACTGTAGTTAACAGATGATAAACCTCGTGCCGTTAAGGTTAAAGTCCGCTTTTCACCTAGTGGACGTATTGAAAATGCCATCTCAATATTTTTCCTCATCCTAAAATCTATTTGTACGACTCGCTGTTTATTGCACTGGCAGGTCTGGTAGTGCAGGGCTCTAATGGGGAATATCCATACCTGACACCGGAGGAGAGGGTTGAGGTGGTGAAGAGAGTCAAACAGGCGCTGCCAAAAGACAAGTTACTCATGGCTGGATCTGGCTGTGAATGTACGTCTCTCTTGGGTATTTATTTACATATACCAGATGACATTTACACTCTAGATCACTTTTGTCTGTTCTTGTAGCCACCAGAGCCACAATCCAAATGAGCCAGCAAATGGCAGATGGCGGGGCTGACTGTTTGTTAGTGGTAACACCTTGCTTTTACCGCGGCCGAATGGATAGCCGAGCTCTTATAAACCACTACGCTAAGGTAGTCTTGAGTAATTGTATTTTTGTATTTAATCAAAGACTGTTCTCTATATTGTGTTCAAATGGAACTGTGGACATTATGCATATCATTGCACTCATTTGCATTTTACTTGGTTCAATTGTGGTTCACACTTTGTCTCATTCAAATGCATCATTGTTTTCCTTGATTCCAAGGTGGCAGATTCCAGTTCAGTGCCAGTTGTGTTGTACAGCGTGCCAGCAAACACGGGTCTCGACCTGCCTGTGGATGCAATAATCCAACTTTCCCAGCATCCAAATATTGTCGGCCTCAAAGACAGTGGTGGAGATGTAAGAGCTGCCATAATACATATTTAATGTAGTGATTTACATATATATATATATATATATATATATATATATATATATATACACACACACATACACACACTGTACAAAATCTGTGTCATACATGACATTGCACCCCAAATCATCACAGACTGTGGAAACTTAACATTGGACTTCAAGCAACTTGGGCTATGAGCTTCTCCACCCTTCCTCCAGACTCTAGGACCTTGGTTTCCAAATGAAATACAAAACTTGCTCTCATCTGAAAAGAGGACTTTGGACCACTGGGCAACAGTCCAGTTCTTCTTCTCCTTAGCCCAGGTAAGACGCCTCTGACGTTGTCTGTGGTTCAGGAGTGGCTTAACAAGAGGAATATGACAACTGTAGCCAAATTCCTTGACACGTCTGTGTGTGGTGGCTCTTGATGCCTTGACTCCAGCCTCAGTCCATTCCTTGTGAAGTTCACTCAAATTCTTGAATCGATTTTGCTTGACAATCCTCATAAGGCTGCGGTTCTCTCGGTTGGTTGTGCATCTTTTTCTTCCACACTTTTTCCTTCTACTCAACTTTCTGTTAACATGCTTGGATACAGCACTCTGTGGACAGCCAGCTTCTTTGGCAATGAATGTTTGTGGCTTACCCTCCTTGTGAAGGGTGTCAATGATTGTCTTCTGGACAACTGTCAGATCAGCAGTCTTCCCCATGATTGTGTAGCTTAGTGAACCAAACTGAGAGACCATTTTGAAGGCTTAGGAAACCTCTGCAGGTGTTTTGAGTTGATTAGCTGATTGGGATGTCATCATGTTCTATTTTGTTGAGATAGTGAATTGGTGGGTTTTTGTTAAATGTGAGCCAAAATCATCACAATTAAAAGAACCAAAGACTTAAACTATTTCAGTCTGTGTGCATTTAATTTATTTAATACACAAGTTTCACAATTTGAGTTGAATTACTGAAATAAATGAACTTTTCCATGACATTCTAATTTATTGAGATGCACCTGTATACGAAGAGTTCATATACAAAAACAGATAACTCCGTTTTGTTTTTTTAATTTTCAAAAATCATGTTTTTATTGTGTTTTGTGTTCGTGTTTTTTTCTAGTTATTTTTTAGCTTAAGCTAAAATTATCTGTAGTTCATATACAAAAACAGATAACTCCGTTTTGTTTTTTTAATTTTCAAAAATCATGTTTTTATTGTGTTTTGTGTTAGTGTTTTTTTCTAGTTATTTTTTAGCTTAAGCTAAAATTATCTGTTTTTGCAAATGAACTCTTCATATATATATTAGTGCTGTCAAACGATTAATCACTTTCAAAATAAAGTTTTTGTTTACATAATATATGTGTGTGTACTGTGTATATTTATTATGTATGTATAAAGACACACACATACAGTATATATTTTGAAAATATTTACATGTATTTGCATGTATATATTTATATTCATATAAATTATATCATATAGAAATATAATTAATATATAAACATAAAATTTTTCTTAAATATATACATGCATTGGGTGTGTATTTATATATATATATATATATAATAAATATACACAGCACACACAGATATTTTATGTAAACAAAACCTTTTATTTGGATGCGATTAATCGTTTGACAGCACTAATATATATACATATATATATATGTATATATATATATAAGAATAACATAAGTAATATATAAATATGAAAGACTACAATTTTACAAGATTACAATTGAAAATGTATTTCTTTTTTGTATCATTCATTGTTTCATGAATGTATTAAGTCTTTCTGTCCTTTATTTTTTCTTTTATTCTGCTATTGACCTTTGACCTGATCTCCTTTGTTTTTCTCCATGAGCTGCTTTTCATTTGAAATGCTTTTAGACATATAAGTGAGCGGAAACAAAATTCAAGGAAAAATAGATTTGACTCTCTCTTTCGGTCACTTGAAGTCTGATTATTTCATATGGACATTGTTTGTTAAAAAGTAACCACTGTATTCAAAGTCAAAGGATTTGTGCTATTATAAACTGCCTACTTACCAAATTAGGTGTGAAATCAGGCATAATAAATGTATTTCAGTTTTTTTCCTGTTTACAGTCTCTTTTTTCACTCCCTTTTATCACCTTTAAACACTTTAATATTTGATAATTGACAGATCACCAGAATAGCTCTGATTGTGCAGAAAACCAGATCGCAGGGTTTCCAGGTTCTTGCAGGATCTGCTGGTTTCCTCGTGGCTGCATATGCTGTCGGTGAGATTGAGTTTTTAATCCTCTTTACACTGTCGAGAATATTTCAAAGTATTAATCCTCTTATATTCATGCACCCTGCCATACAATATTTACTCATCTTTTGTTTTTTATTGTTTTAAATGACTAAATAATCAGTATTACAACACATACTACCACAATATATAGCTACAGTTGTACTTTAAAAATGTAACTTCACTTTTTTTTCTATTTTTGGTTTTGTAGTAGGCGACAGAGTTGTGGGAGTTTTGATGTAGAAAATGTCACGATGCAAAAATATTTAAATGGACTTAAAATAGGCTTTATTTTGACGAGGTTAATTATGACCTACGTTGGAGACGCTGCAGTTGATTTATTCTGTTTGTCTGTACAAACTGTTTCAAATTCCTCATAAAATACAGAAAGTACATTAAGAGTAATCGTTCAAACGTGACAAGTTGAACATGTCAAACAATTTGTGACCATGATAAAAAACAAATCATGCTAATTGTTGCCGTTCACCTTGAAGGGCAAGTGATTAATGCACATTGACAGAAATAAGAGTAGAAAGACGGTCCCTAATACAAACATGTCAGTCCTAATACAACATCTACTTCATTTTTCTCATAACATGAAGCTTGATACCGGGAGACAAAACTACAGTTAATCAAATGCCAGCTTGTGGGAGAGCATCTAGGAAGCCTGTCAATTAATCAACACAATCAAAGTCGCCTTAATATCTGTCAGAAAGACTGGGGGTGGCGAGTCGCTTGGCCATTATCATGAGCATAGGTGGTGTCAGGCTGTCTGTCAGTCAAACTGTTGTTTATGTGGGAGGGGGCTGTAGTTTGTCAATCACATAGTGAATGAAAGTTAGCAGTACTGAATTTCTAAATGTTTTTTTTTTTAATGGTTATTTTGGACTATTGGTTGCATGCATATCTTATTGGTGTGACATTAATGGAATTGGTCACTCATAAATAAAAATTAGCTGAAAATGTTTGTTTCTTCATCAGATTTGGAGAAATGTAGCATTGCATCACTTGCTCACCAGTGGATGCTCTGCAGTGAATGGGTGCCGTCATAATTAGAGTCCAAACAGCTGATAAAAAACATCACAATACTCTACAAGTAATCCACACCACTCCAGTCCATCAGTTAATGTCTTGTGAACCGAACAGCTGTGTGTTTGTAATAAACAAAACATCAAGACATTTTAAAAACTACAAAATTCAAGTAATATAGCTTTCTCCAGTGAAAAGGTAATCTTGTCTGAATCAGAAATATGCACAGATCAAGCACATTTTTCCAAACAAATATACTTTTTTATTGGTGGAAGCATTATGTACGAAATAAAAAATGTAAGATTACAAGATTAAAGTCGTATTTCAACTTTATTCTCATAATTTAGATTTTTTTTCTCAAAATAGTCCATCTTTATTCTTGTATTGCTAGGACTTTATTCCTGTAATTTTAACTTTTTTCTCAAAATATTCAGACTTTATTCTTGTATTGCTAGGACTTTATTCCTGTAATTTTAACTTTTTTCTCAAAATATTCCGACTTTATTCTTGTATTGCTAGGACTTTATTCCTGTAATTTTAACTTTTTTCTCAAAATATTCCGTCTTTATTCTTGTATTGCTAGGACTTTATTCCTGTAATTTTTACTTTTTTCTCAAAATATTCCGACTTTATTCTTGTATTGCTAGGACTTTATTCCTGTAATTTTAACTTTTTTTCTCAAAATATTTCAGCTTTATTCTTGTGTTGTTAGGACTTTATTCCTGTCATTTTAACTTTTTTTATCAAAATATTTCGGCTTTATTCTTGTATTGCTGAAAAGCTACATGACATTTCTCAGTAGGTTTCTCAGAGGTTCATGAAGGAGTTTAACTTAAAGATTCGCTATTAGTAGATGCTGCTGCTGGACACTGCTGAGAGACGCATAGATGCAGGTATTCACACACACTTAATCTCTCTCTCTCTCTCAATCATGATTCTGTCTGAGCTATGCGTTTTAAAACGAACACTAACTAGTGTAAATGTAGCCTAACAGATGTGTAAACTGAAGACTATTTGAGCTTTATTAAAACTATTTTGCACTGATTTATTGTGTTGGTTACATTTTGTTCCTTTGTGCAGTGGCTCAGGAGATGAGTCTTTGAGTTTGTATAAACATCAACAAGCTGAAAAATAAAACCAAAGTTTTTTTTTTTAGATAATGTAATCTTGTTAGAATTGATTTCATAAAATTGGTATCGAAAAAAGTATCATTCAGGAACCGGTATCGAAGTCAAGGTATCGGTATCGATATCGAAAAATTTGGAACGATACCCAGCCCTAATTACTAGTGAGACAGAGAAACGTGTCCAATATTATTAACTAGCTTGTTGGGGTGGCCAACCTCGGTCCTGAAGAGCCACCGTCCTGCAGAGTTCAGCTCCAGCCCTAATCAAACACACCTGAACTAGCTAATCAGTTGTTACTAGAAGTCATCAGCTGGTGTTCAGTGTCAGGCCTGTGTGCAAGGAGCACAAACCTGTAGTTGTCATTTGTGAGGCATGTAAGCACTGAGATGGCAATTTGAGATAGCGGTGTACCTGTGGGATTTTATTTTGTTAGTGTTATTTTCATCTATTCGGTCACATTCACTACAGTTGCACTACAGATGTTATCGGTTATCAGTGATATGTGTATGTCATGTGTGACAAAGTGGCAACTAAACATATTTAAAGTGTTAAATATGTTGGTCTAAATAACTGCTAAAATAATTATTTTAACAAAATGTCTTTATTCTTTAGTTTTGTTTTATGCTTGCATATACAGTGGGTACAGAAAGTATTCAGACCCCCTTAAATTTTTCACTCTTTGTTATATTGCAGCCATTTGCTAAAATCATTTAAGTACATTTTTTTTCCTCATTAATGTACACACAGCACCCCATATTGACAGAAAAACACAGAATTGTTGACATTTTTGCAGATTTATTAAAAAAGAAAAACTGAAATATCACATGGTCCTAAGTATTCAGACCCTTTGCTCAGTATTTAGTAGAAGCACCCTTTTGATCGAATACAGCCATGAGTCTTTTTGGGAAAGATCCAACAAGTTTTTCACACCTGGATTTGGGAATCCTCTGCCATTCCTCCTTGCAGAGTTTTTGACCCATGTGTGTAAACTTGATGTAGTAACACAAAACCTAGGGGAAAAAATAAAATATTAATTTGTGGTCATTGCAAAAAGATATTTATAGATCAGAGAATATTAAATGCTGAAATATACAGATTTCAAAAGATAAAACAAAAAAATGCCCAGCGAAGTATGAAATAACATACGGGTCATTTTAGACCCATGTTGTGCATAAGAAGGGGTTTTCATAGCTTGTGCAGCAAAGGGTTAAAGTTAAAACATCTTAATAAAAGATTTGTTTCTTACTAACATTCAGCGTTTTACTTCACAAGACATTAAATGATAGACTGGAGGGGTGTGGATTATTGTGATGTTTTTATCAGCTGTTTGGACTCTCATTCTGACGGCAACCATTCACTGCAGAGCATCCATTGCTGAGACACTGATGCAATGCTACATTTCTCCAAATCTGATGAAGAAACAAGCTCCTCTACATCTCAAATGACCTGAGGGTGAATACATTTTCAGCCCTATTTTTGGGTGAACTATTCCTTTAAGAGCCGATTATAAATCTGTTTGTTATAGGGGCCGTGGGAGGCGTGTGCGCCCTTGCAAATGTCCTGGGTCAGCAGGTGTGTGATCTAGCACAGCTGTGTGTTTCAGGACGCTGGGATGAGGCCAGAGAGCTCCAATATCGCCTCATCGAACCCAACACAGCAGTGAGCATCACATCACCATGGCAACGCCACACATTTATACCACAGATACATTTGCTGCTATATAGGCATGATAAACATTGGAAGCAACCCTTCCCCCAAGAGCTGCCGAACATGAGCTTTGCTTCAAAGGCCATGAGAAAGATTTACAATATGGTGTAAATAAGCTTTTGAACAAAAGATAAACATAACTGGCTGATCCTAAAAGGTTTGATCAAGGTGAACAGACTCTAAACGATGCCTTTGACCTTGTGTAAAAGAGAATCTATGATTGATTTTGACTCTATTCATTAAATTGCAGTGTCCCTCCCCCACTTTTTTATAGGTAACGCGGCAGTATGGCGTTCCCGCTTTGAAACAAGCAATGGAGTGGTTTGGATATCACGGGGGGGTGTGCCGGTCCCCACTGCAGCCTTTATCAAAGGCAGATTTAGAGCAGCTTCAAGTCAAATTCTCCTCCAATGGTTGGCTGTAGAAGCAGGAAGGCCAACGGAATCAAAGGGTTACAGTACTCAGGTGTTCTAAAACAGAATGTTTAATTATTCTTTTTGTGTTATCATTAATTCAAGCTGACTTTATAAAGAGATTTTCATCATAACGTTGCATTAAAATATAATTTGCAAGCTACATCTTATTCTTGTTTTGAAGTTAGCGAAAACAATTTGTTCTGTATTTTAGTACAGTATGTATTATATTTGAGTAAAAGGAAAAAACACTTCCAAATATTTTAAAGTACAATGTTTTTTTTATATTCTCATTTTGAAAACAGAGCAATATTAAATAATAATAATAATTCATTACATTTATATAGCGCTTTTCTAGGCACTCAAAGCGCTTTACATTGTCAGGGGGTATCTTCTCATTCACCACTAGTGTGCAGCATCCACCTGGATGATGCAACGGCAGCCATAGTGCGCCAGAACGCCCACCACACACCAGCTTATTGGTGGAGAGGAGACAGAGTGATGAAGCCAATTAGCAGATATGGGGATTGTTAGGAGGCCATGATGATCAGAGGCTAATGGGCAAATTTGGCCAGGATGCCGAGGTCACACCTCTACTCTTTTCGAAAGACATCCTGGGATTTTTAATGACCGCAGAGAGTCAGGACTTCGGTTTAACGTCTCATCCGAAGGACGGTGCTTGTTGGCAGTATAGTGTCCAGTATAGTTTATATTCTTAAAGCTGCAGTTCATAACTTTTTTGTGTTCAAAATTAACAAAGTTTATATAATAAGCGAGTACACCATGAATCCATTTTCCAAACGGTGTTTTTGGCTTGTCCCGAATCACTAAGTTACACCTATAATATTCAATTTAATGTGCGACCACAAGTGGGCGCTTTACACCACCAAGAAGTGTTTAAATTGTTTGCCGAGGCGCAAACCTGTGATCTCTTTTAAAACGGATGAAAAGCATTGGTATATGAGTCATGCATCTCTAAAGAGTAGACTGTTGCAGAGTGAGAAAATGAGAGGAAAAAACAACAACATTGCTACATTTTCTGACTCTTGCTGGGAGCAAAATGACAAGAAACTGTAGACAGAGAGCAGTCATTATCTTCTCTCTTTCACTGTAATACTTATGAGTTCTGACACATCACACTTCCACTGACTACCTTTTGCTACTGTCTTGATAACTTTGGGTATGTAAAATCTTTGAAGTGCCTCCCATGAGTGCTGAATAGTGACGAATGTCGATGTAGAGTCATGTAAAAGTCGCATGAATTCTGACATGACTGTTCAGACTGCGGTCGCATTGCAAAACATCTGACCTGTATCGGATTTAGTAACACATCTGGAAGTGGCACGAATCGGAATTGAAAAGATCAGATTCCATGCGGTTTGTGCTGTTCACACTGTCACGACAAAAAAAGATCCAAGTCACATTTGAGCAAAAAATTGGATTTGGGCCACATTTGCTTGCAGTGCGAGTATGTAAACTGTGCGTTTACGCTGCTTTTTTTTAAAACGGTGGGAACCAGTGTTTTAACATGTCATGCGTTCAGCCAGTCATACACTTATGTCACTGGTAGTTCCTGTTGTGCTGGATTAGACCCTATTCTGAAGGAGCTAGTTTAGTCCCACCAAAAAGTGTTCCTATAAATACAGAGTTCTGGCATGAAACTCTAGATGGCGCAGTCTGATAGGTCTAGCTCAATCTGACCTGGTGACATCATTGTCACGTGGCACAGCTGATTGGTTCTCTCCTGTATCGGTAGCCAATGAGCTCGCTGCTCAATATTCAGATACCTGGCTTTTGTTTGCTGTAGCAGTTGGCAGTGCACTTCAGAAACCCTCCACCTTCCCCAGCTCCACCTGTATAGATCTGCTACGGGGTGATGTATGTATGCTATATGGGGGTTATTCATGTGTTATATGTGCAGCAGCAATATTTCTTACATGCTCACAGCAGCATGTTGTGGATGTTATTGGCAGTAGCAAGTCTCAGTTCTTGCTCTGCCGTAGCAGCAGTGTAGCAGATCTATTCCGCCAAGACCAAATACATTAAAGAGGACATATGATGCGATTTCAATTTTTCCTTTCTCTTTGGAGTGTTACAAGCTCTTGGTGCATAAAGAAGATCTGTAAAGTTGTAAAGACTAAAGTCTCAAATCCAAAGAGATATTCTTTATAAAAGTTAAGAGTTAACCACGCCTACCTAAAACGGCTATGTGGGAAGATTTGCATAACGCCGCCCAAATGTTCACGCAAAGTCAAGTCAAGTTTATTTGTACAGCGCTTTTCACAATACAAATCATTGCAAAGCAATTTTACAGCAAATTAAGTTTCTACAATATTTAGTGGTAGCTTATCAGTGGTGACTGTCAGTTAATGTACAGGTGCATCTCAATAAATTAGAATGTCGTAGAAAAGTTCCTTTATTTCAGTAATTCAACTCAAATTGTGAAACTCGTGTATTAAATAAATTCTATGCACACAGACTGAAGTAGTTTAAGTCTTTGGTTCTTTTAATTGGGATGATTTTGGCTTGGCTCACATAACCCACCAATTCACTATCTCAACAAATTAGAATACTTCATAAGACCAATAAAAAAACATTTTTAGTGAATTAGTGAATTTCTGGAAAGTATGTTCATTTACTGTACATGTACTCAATACTTGGTTGGGCCTCCTTTTGCATGAATTACTGCATCAGTGCGGCGTGGCATGGAGACAATCAGCCTGTGGCACTGCTGAGGTGGT